TGGTGAATTTTGATCGTTGAGGTGAGAATTAATTTTTAGAATGATTTTATGGAGGTGTAAACGGACGAGTGGTTACGTTGAGGAATTTCGTTGGAGTTTGCCAACAACTCAAATCCTATTCAGAATGTGTTGTGGACTCATAACCGTCACCATACTAGAAAAGTCGATTCTTACCGAACATGTCGCAATAAATATTACACGTTACCGGATAATATGTACTTTCATTGGGTAACTAGCCAAGGCACAACTTGCGTAGGGCATTCCTACTTCAAATACAGGGTTTCCATCACCTCAAGTAAGCCTAGTACCAGATAAGGAGAAGAGCGGATCCGAGGATCGACTGTGTTGTAAGTGCAATCCGATTTTCTCAGGTGTGATATCTCAAGCGATGACGAAATCCCAAGCCGTCGCGCTTCGTAAGCTCTAGCGATTCAAATTACGCGAACGGATTTCGGAGAAGAAGAAAGACAACGAGAGCAGCTAACGCATTGAGAAAATAGGCTCATGGCACTCTCTAAGGGTACAGGTCCCCGTTGAGGCGAAATCTGTGCCTTGCAATAACACAGCCGCTACCAGCATTAGACATGACCGACAGGACGGCAGAATGAAGTGGTAATCACACCAAAATAGGTAAAAGTTTCACTGAAACTGGATGAAGAAAAATATACAAAGGTCTTATGGAAATTTTGAGGCTCGTTGAGAAAATTCTGCAAGCGAAAAAAGTTCGCGAATACAATAAAATTACAAAATCACACGATAGTCTCAAAAAATACCGGGTACTGTTGTAACAATGCTGGAGGCAAAAATGGATATACACATCCAGAATTGTGAATTGAATTCAAAATTACCTGCTGACTTTTTTCGGTGCCTGTTTTTCGTTTCGAATTTTGATAGTACCAGTTTAGCTGAGCACGATACCGCACGCGAAACACGGCTGCTGAGGAGTGGACTCTCGTGGCAGGGAAACTCGTTGCGCAGGTCTCAATTAGGGGAGTGGTATTTGAGTTATTTGGGAGGGATCGTATTTGGTGTTGTTGGTGGAGTTAAAAGTTCGGGGAGGGGCTCGAATTTGAGGAGGTTGGTGAGAAAGGGGGTTGCTCTTTTGAATATTGTTTTGGGTGAAGGACTGAATGGGAAAGTAGAGAATTTCCCGTTTCAATCGGGACACATACCCCTTCTCCCCCTCCCCCTCCCCATTTGATAGCCCTATTCTGGATGGAAACATGAGTTGTCTAGAATCGAATAACACGATGCTTCAGCCTGTCTAAAATCCAACTTCTAAGACACTTCTCAATCAAATTGTGATTCGCTTAGGCCTCTGCACAAAAACCTATATTTTCTACGGAGATTTCTGCGTAAGC